GGACCTGAAGACTCTCTGGGAGGTGACCCTGGAATCATCATATTTAACCAGGTTATTCTTATGCACAGCAAGACTGATACAAAGTACAGTGTTCTTCAAATGTTTTTGACCAAGAGTCAAAGCCAACCAGGCTAAGAAATACAGTTTTCACTAGAGACCCACATATATATATATAAATAAAACAAAAAATACTTGAAACTACACTTTTCCTTACAATGTGTGAGACACTCATATATTCTACTCTATTCCATTCAAACAAGAATGTTGACTGTGGCTCACTAAAGCGATTCTCTGTCCTATTCACAGGTTGCGTCCTGCAGTCTGGAAAACACAGACATAATGATGCTCAACCAATGTTTGATGAGTGAATAAATGAAAGTTGGAAGAAATGCATGAATACTTGTATCTCAACAACTATAAAACAGAGGGGACGCATTAGATAATTTCTAAGATCTCTTCATGTAAAATTCTGAGATCTGGGGGGCCAGCCCTGTGGCCGAGTGATTAAATTTGCACGCTCTGCTTCGGCAGCCCAGGGGTTTGGATCCTGGGTGCGGAGACAGCACCGCTCATCAGGTCTTGTTGAGGCGGCATCCCATATAACACAACCAGAGGCACTCACAACTGTATATACAACTATGTACTGAGGGGTTTTGGGGAGAAGAAGAGAAAAAAAATTCTGAGATCTGATGCCTTTTTTTCAATTTCCAACAGCTTCACCATGTCCCAGGGCTCTGGTTATCTTTAGTTAAAAGGATTCCCACTGATGCAAGAGTTCAGAGGGTTCTATTTCAATTTGTTCATTAACTAAAGACATGCAGTGTCTTCCCTTCCAGCCCCCCCAGACCTGCCATCCCTGAGCCCGAAGGACCAGCAAAGGCAGGAGGCACACCCAGAGCACAGGAGCTCCCAGGAGTCTTTCTGTGGTGCTCCTTCCTTGTCTTCTCCATGGTCCGGAGGCCGAGGTTGAATGTGGAGGAGCCTCTGTGGCCTGGATGGGATGCTATTCCCAGGTCTGAGGAAATGTGCTGCTGTCACGAGGGAGTGTGTTTGAGGGTTGGCCTGTTGTCTGCAGAGGGCTCCATGAACCTCAGGAATTCCCATCCTGGGGCCCGCAGCTCACTCTCCCAGAGACTGGGCCAGGGGCTGTAGTGGTCATCTGGGGGGCCCACCACAGCATAATGTGGGTTTGAGGAGCTGAGGGGTCTCCTTGGAGCCCACCCAAGGGGCTCTGCTGACCCCTGCTCCAGTGGGACCTGGTTACAGCCCATCCATAGGGTAAGGCCTTGGGACAGCTCAAGGAGAGAGTTCTGGTGGGAACCAGAGGTAGGTTTCTCTGTTGTTTGGAATAAAGTAGAGGCTAGTTCTCCCCTCCCCAAATTATATTATTATTAGCTAATATTGATTGAGTGCTTGCCTATTATCTGCCCTCTGCAACATACATCATCTCATTTAATCCACACAACTCTGTAAGGTAGACACTATTATTAACCATAAGTTCCAGATCAAGAAAGTGAGACACAGAAAGGTTAAGTAACTTGCCCACAGTTCTGCAGCAAGCGGCAGAAGTAGGATAATTAACCCAAGCAGACCGACTCCAAAGGCTGCAGGCTCAGTCACTACACTGTAAAGCCTTCGCAGGTGCTGCTGAGTTAGTCAAGGGAAGGCCTTCCACCTGGTGCTGTTCTGCAGGAGGTGCTGGGAAATACTGACACTTGGAGTCATCGCCATGTCCTCTCATCCTGTCTCGAGCATGAACGTCACAACCCTGTAATTGATTACCACGTGTGGCAAGTGTAGCACATGATGGAGAGCCCCGGTTTACAACATCACTGCTCTGGGAACGTCACTGGCCTCTCAGCGGGAATACTTGGGGCAAGGAGACCAGAGTGAGAGCCAGAAAGATGGCGCCCTTCGGATGGCAGCATAATGAAAGACAAGCATTCTGGAGGAACAGGGATAGGGTAAAGACACCAACAAGCTCCCACCAGCTCTAGGATAAAAATAATAATCTACGGAAAAACCACTATGTGACTGACATTGGGCTAAATACTTTAAAAATATTGTTTCAGAGTATTTTCATGACAACCCTATAATGGAGGTATTCTTATGCCCGTTCTACAGACGGAGAGCCTAAGGCTTAGAGAACTTAAGGAAACTGCTCAAGGTCATCAAACAAATAGAACTGGGATTCAAAACCAGGTCTGCCTAACCCCAGGTTGTCTGCAGAGGGCTCCACGAACCTCAGGAATTCCCATCCTGGGGCCTGCAGCTCACTCTCCCAGAGCCTGGGCCAGGGGCTGTAGTGGTCATCTGGGGGGCCCACCACAGCACAATGTGGGTCTTGAGCAGCTGAGGGGTCTCCTTGGAGCCCACCCAAGGGGCTCTGGTGTTCCTGTCTCTCCCACAATTCTGCTTTTTGAATGTGTACTCTTACTCAACAAAGTTCGATGTCTGGGAGAAAAACAACAATATTTGAAGTTTCCACCACATGTGGGCCACTGAGGCGGCTCCATTAATCTTCCTCAAGGATGACACAGGACCGGGGTGAGAAAGCAGACTGCGTGGCCAGCACCTCACCAGGTGTTCCCACTGATGGAAAGCAGTTCAACTAGATCACGGTGGTGACGGCCGGCAGCACAGCTCAGGGAAGCCCTGCGGGCACAGGTCCTGGATTCAGTCTCATCAACAGAAATTGAAAAGCTTCTGAGGTCCTCTCAGAATCACACTCTGACCCGATGCCCAGACTTAGCCAATGTTCACGAGCCCAGCAAGGTGCCCAGGCGTCCTCCAGGACGGAGGGCCAGTCTGGCCATTTTCCACCCATGTCACTCGGCTCTACCTGTCAAGTCTGTGTAGTTCACGGGCACCGCTGAGCTCCTACTCCGTGCCCAGCGGGGGCCCGATGCCCTTCCCTCTGCCGACTGCCTGGCTCTCCCTTCTTCCCTTCCCAGACAGGCAGACAGGAGGGCCCTTGCTTTCACCCCTGCTGCCAGGGCAGCTCAAGGGAAATGCCAGATTTGGAAGGCAGACTTGCAAATAACAACAAATAAATAAAAACAACGCCTCCCTTGTTTCCATTCCTAAGGGATTGGGCAGAATGATATAGATTCCAAAAGTTCTTAAAAGACATGGCCTTATGGAAAAGCCCTTCACCTCTAATGCCTGGTGGTCCCCATAGCGACTGTTGGGAAGATGAAATGAGACAGTGAATGTGCTTGTGTTGTCAACAGTGAAAAGCATCCAAGACATGACAGAGATTCCTGCCAGCTGGGGTCTGAGCAGCAGGTTGACCAGTTGTCTGAGCAAGACCCAGAATTCAGTTAAAAGTGTAGATCCTGATACTTTGAAATCGAATCACAGTTCCACGATGTAGTGACTGTGTGGCTGTGCCCTTAGATAACGTACTGAGCTGTCTGTGCCTCAGCATCCTCAGTATGTACCTGGGAATAACACTGACAGTAGCCACTCCATTGGAATCTGATGAGGATTAATGGGACATTGCAGGTGGCGTGTCAGCATGCCGTTGGCAGGAATGAGAGCTCGATGCATGTACCCCGCTGCCGTGAGGCTGGGAGTGGGGAGGGACGCACACTCTCATCCCCACTCCAGCCTTCACCTCCACAGACCTCTCCTGAGGAATTCAGCCACTTGCTTGCCAAAGGCACCTGAAGCCCAGAGCCCGTATGATATGGCCAATGGGGAAATTTTGAACAACAGCGTTGGGGTGTGCGCTGGTGGCAACACCATCTGATAAGCTGCTGTGGGGGATATTTTAAGTATCTACTTTCCCCATCCTACGCTCTCCGTGACACCAATGGTTCTCAACCTTCTTTGAATCATGGCCCCTTATCCCAAGAGGACCCTTAGCTATCACGCATTTCTCTGCCTTCTCCCTCAGTAGCCACACCTACAAAATGCCAAAAAGCAGAGGGATCTGCTTCTTGGGATCACACTCTGAAAATGACTCTTCAGAAAAATGTGTTAGGTGTCGGTATTGCTGTCAGAGTGGCAGCCCTAACAAGGCCATGGGGGTATAAAGGGAACTCCATGAGCCATGGCCTCCCTAGAAACAACATCATCAATAACAAAAATGAGGACAGCTAACTCTTCTGAACACTGCTGTTCCAGACACCATGCGAAGATCTTCACATGCATTATCTTGTTTGATCCTCGCAAGACCCCCGTGATGGGGATACCATCATAATTCTCATTTTACAGATGAGGAGCTAAGGCACAGAGAGGTTAAGTAACTCACCCAAGGTCACACAGCTAGTGAGTGATAAGATTCAAACATAGTCCCAGAACCCTGCTGTCAACCAGTATACTTTTTGGCCACCTAGGGGCATCATAAGTCTCGTACTCCCATCTCCTATTTTAATGTCCTGAGCATTCACCCTAATAAAGGCACATTAGACTTGAGTAGGTACAAATTCTGGACATATTGAGTCTCATATCTTGGGCTGACTCTTCTCTTCAAAATGAACCTGCCTGGGAATCAATGCTGAAATACGGAGAGAGGTCCCAGACCAGCCTGGTACGTGTATGACTAAGGAGAGAACTATCGCCCTGCACTCTGCCCCCCCCCCCCCCCCCCCGGCCCGAAGTGCTCACAGGCATCTCTGAGCCAAGGACTACTTGAAAAAATTCTGGGAACACCCCTGCTCAAACCACAGCTCGATGAAAGGTGGGGACTAGACTAGAGGAGGTGGGGGTATAGGTCAATGCCCTGTCCTGCCTCCCAGGGAGGGAAAAAGCATGCCTCCCCAGGAAGCTCACGTGTGACAAGTGGCCCATGGGCATAGCAGCACAGGACTGAGGGATGGACTGCTTGCTCTGCTGGGAAGAAGGCATGAGCCTGAAGAGGAGGGACAGAACCACCTGCAGGAGGACTGAGCAACCTTTCTGAGGGAGGGAGGGAGGGAGGGAGGCTCCGGCAGGAGGGGGAGGCGGGAGCAGAGGGAGCCGCGGATCGGATCGGTGCAGGCAGTGAGAGGGGGCAGCCCCACCGTGTTTCCCAGGCTGCTCTCTGGGATGCAGGCAGGAAGGCTGAGTGCGTTACACTGGCCCCACCTCCTGAAGCTCTCTCTGCAGCTACTGGACTGGACACAAAAGTGTGAGGGACAGAGACACTGTCTCTGCTGATTTGTACCAAACTCTGGCTCCCGTTGCTAAGAGGCCACATGTGACAGAAGCCAGGGTAGGGGCCCACGCTGCTGTCTGCATTTCCCAGGTAAGCAACTCTTTGTGTCTGAGCCAGAGGTGGAGAGCCAGGCCCGAAGGCAGTGGGCAGAGGAGAGGGTGGGAGGTGGCGGTGCTGGGGTGGACCTGCACGATCTATGGAAGGAAAGCAGGAAGAGGGGCAGAGGCACGGAGCCGGAACAAGCCCTCAGGCCGGGCTTCTGCAAAGTGTGCACAGAAGAGGTAGGTGAGCTGGAGGCTGCGCTTGGACCACTCCTGGCCGACCAGTGTGGCGCAAGCTCCAGGAATGGGTTGTGCTCTGACAGCCTCTGAGGGTCAGCGCATCTGGAGAGCAGAGGGGCCAGCCACACCGTGGCATCGGTGTTCCTCTTCTAGAACAGGAATATTTGTGTAGACTTTGCCAGAAAATCCCACCCTGAGCCCTACCTTCCTCTGGGTCTTCCTGGTGGTCAAGAGAGAAGCTTTGGCAGCTACAGAAGGAAGAAAGCAGGATGTATTCACTGAGGATGTGGAGGCAGACAGAGGGGGATTTCCCATCTGCAAAGGCAGGATCCTGGCAGCCTTCTGAGGAGGTAAGAGCCAGCAGAGGGCTGTGTGCTGCCCTGAGGAGGCTCACCTGCGGCCCAGAGGAAGGGAGAGGAGACACATGTCGCGTAGAATGGAATACGTGCGCTGGGGGTGGGGTGGCGAGTGGGTGAAGTAATGGTCTGCGGAGTTCCACCTGAACACGCACAGCATGTTGTCCCAGAGTAAGAAGAAGCCTAAGACGCCTGCATCAATCAAATCCAGCTTCCCTTTGCTGTCCCTGCCCATGGACACAGTCCCTGATCAGGCATGCTGGCCTGGGGAAGTCATATTAAGCTGGCAAGTGCTGTGTCCCCTCTGTTAACTACACTCCCACCCCCACCCCACCCCCAAACACACACACTCTCTCTCCCTCCCTGTCTCTCTCTCTAAGAACTACTCTGCTGAAAATATGTCAGACCTTGGTTTCCTGTCGAGAAGTAAGCCAGCCACACTCTAACATGTGAAGGGGATAGAGCAGAGAGGTCAGAGGGGGTGAGGGATCCCTGGGCTTCAGGGCACAAAGGGACATGAGACGCTGAACCCCAGTCACCACTGCACTGTGTCCTCCCTCCACCCACGGCTTCTGTATCCGCGTAGAAAGGGATGGTTCCTCCCAGTGCTCCCACCTCCACTCACACAGCAACTGGGCTTATGATCACCCAGCAGCCAGAGGAAGGCTGGCTTGATGTGATGGGGGATAGCGTAATGGGACATGACCTTACTGGGTGAACCTTGATCAGCAACTGCTAAGAGCATCCATCTAGACACCTCCCTGGAGTCTGCACCCCTGAGGTGCAGAGGAGCTCCAGCTACAGCACGAGTAACAAGGCTCTAGTCATTGGATGCCAGCCGTGAGCAGGAACCTCACGCAGCCCATACAGTGGGAGGATTATCTCTATCCTACAGATGAAGGAAAAAGGGCCCAGAGATGTTTGTTGACGCACAGGCATACGATTTTGACCGTTCAGTAAACATTTGTGGAATAAATGAATACATCTTGCTGAGCGGTAACAGCATGCCTCCTGCCTTGAGAGGAGCGCATTGGAGCCACACCAAATGCAGAGATCGCTCCTCTGATTCCTTCTGAGATGCCACTGGAAGGTGGGCGGAGGAGGAGAGAAGGAACCTTCGGAAAGTAAACACTCAGTGACTAATACCATTGACCACTCGGCCTCTGCAGCATGTGTCGCGGCCTCTCTCTCCCGCGGAGGGCAATTTGGGTCAACAGGAGCAGGGAGGAGCCCAGCAGTGAGGTCCCACAGCCAAGGCTCCTTGGCCCAGAAAACACAAGGGGCTTTGATGACTACAGAAAGCAGTGGCTCTTCCTCCACCAGGATGCTGCGGCTGCTCTTGGGCAGGGCCCAGCCCCGGGGCAGGCCTCAGTCTGGAGGCCACATCTAGCACAGCTTGGGGTTTACCATAACGACCTTGAAGTTAAAGAGAAACCCCGAGGCTGCTATGAGCTGTGTGGCCTTGGGCAGGTACAACACCTCTTCAAGCCTCAGTTTCCCAGTCTGTAAAATGGAAAGAATGATGTAAGAATAAGAGCATCTATCTTAAAGGTTGCTGGGAGGAATAAATGAAATCATGCTTGGGAAGTGCTCAGCATTTTGCCTGACCCATAATGTCTGAAAATGGAACTACTGGCAGTACCCACCTCTGGGATTCTCAGAAGATTCCCTCCAGACCAAAGCAAACTCAGCCCTCTGGTCAGAAATTGCCCCCTCTTCCCCAAAGCCCTCAGTGGCCTGTCTCTCCCTCCAGCAACTCCTGTAAAATGCGTCACTCACACAAACAAGCCTTATTAACCAACCCAGCAGCCTTTCTCTGGGTCTTCAAGATAAAACAAAATTAGTTAGAAAATAAAACTCAATGGCACCCTTGTCTCATGCCTTGCTGTCAAAACCCTAAGTCCATGCTTCTCACGTTGGGGTATGTGCATCCTGGGGGCATCTGGGGGTATGCCAGGAATCCATGAGGCCACGGGATAAATATGGCACACTTAGGGGGGTAAGCTAAACATTTAAACTGAAGATAACTTAAAACATTATTTTTATATTAAAACAAACATGACATGGAATGTACATTCTCATGAATGTTTAAGATGAAGCAATATTTCAAAGATAGTTCAAGCTTTCCACGGGCATCCCTTCCTCCCCGGGCGCATACTCTTACCCTGCCCAGCAATTAGGGGCTCTTCATTGCAAAACCTTGAGAAGCCCTGCCTAACTGGTGAGGGGCGGCTGGGTATCTTCTTGAGAACATGCCTAGTGTCTTCTTGACTCGCCTCCATTCTCCCGGGGGCTGCTCCTTGTCTTTGAAAGAGGTGACCCACGCAGCCCAGTGCCCGGGAGGCAACCCCAGCTGACGCCATCATGAGATGGCAGACTTGCGCTCCTGGCAGGAACAGCAAGACCAGGCTGGTTTTCAGCTTCCTGGTGAGGCCGACAGTTTAAGAGGCCTGAGGAGGACCAGACCTTGCTTCCTGCCCTCTTACCCAGGCTTCCACCATGCTCACAGAGAATGTGCCTGGCTAGCAATTGAGGTTTGAGCCCCCTGGACAGAGCATGGCACAGCTGGCACTCAGCAAATGTCCCACCCTTGCCATCCCCGACAGCATTGTCTCCTGGGCCTTCTAGCAAGTGGGACCTCCAAAGGCATTAAGGGTGACTGTGTGGATTTTTCAGCAGGGCCCAGCTCCTTGTTCTCCCGGGAGGCACAACAATGTGGTTGGCATGGCCACCAGCAGGAACTGGTACCAGATCTGGTATCAGATCCACCAGCGTATCTATAATGAGAACCTCAGCCCCAGTGGCTGGGCAGGTGACTGAGTACATTCTTTGTGATTTCCTCTTCACACTTTCCTTTTGCAGGTGTCGTGAGCCAAGCAAAGGTCCTGTCTAGGAGGAGCGGGACTAGCGGTGCCTGAACATCATGGCCCAGGTGGACCCCCAGGACAGGTGGGACGAGGTGTCTCCTCTCTGCAGCTTGACTGAGGACCCCCGGATGCCGAGCGTTAACTTAGGGAGTGAGGATGAGGATGGAGGGGAGACAGGAGACCAAGGAGGCACTGGTGACCCGGATCATCAGGCCCGTTCAAAGGGCAGCTCCCAAGTGACTCAGGACAATCCTGACTCGCGGTGGCAGCATCCACCTGGCCAGAAGGAAGAGAAAGTGTCTGACTCTTTTAGAGCTGGGAGTGTGGGGAAGAAACCTATGGCGACGCCTGGAAAGAAGGCCAGCTGGGGAAGAGATGAGTCAAAGATCACGCAGACCCAGGACTCACCCGAAGCAAGCACAGCTCCAGGTGTCCTCCCCAGCGGCCTCTCGCACAAGTTGTTAGGTCAGAGGCAACCTCCTGGGGTCTCATTACCTGCAGGTGATGATGGAGACTCCAGGGCAAACCTGGAAGCCGCCTTGGGTGTCCCATCCAGCTTCTCTGGTCCTGGAAGCTATTTCCGTGCACAGAAAGGTGTAGACAGGGCCTCAAACAACTCCTCCCTGGCGTGTTTCCCCAAGCTGGGGGGCAGTTGGGACCTCCCCACGCAAGAGACACGCACGCCAGCGCAGGGGTCGGCCACCGCCGCCAGGTTGGCAGAGGCGGTGCTGGCGAAAGCGCGCACAGGCCAAAAGGGCCAGCACCCAGCGGGCGCGGGGGAGGGCGGGCAGGAGGAGGTGCGTCCCAACAAGTGCAGGCGAGCTGGGCGGGCCTTCCAGAAGCCCAGCAACCGGCTGAGCCCGGCGCAGACAAGGGGCGCCAAGCCTTACGCGTGCGAGCTGTGCGGGAAGGCCTACTCCCACCGGGGCACGCTCCAGCAGCACCGGCGCCTGCACACGGGCGAGCGGCCCTACCGGTGCCCTTTCTGCGACAAGGCCTACACCTGGTCCTCCGACCACCGCAAGCACATCCGCACCCACACAGGCGAGAAGCCCTACCCGTGCCCGGACTGCGGGAAGGCCTTCGTGCGCTCCTCGGATCTGCGCAAACACCAGCGCAACATGCACAGCAACAACAAGCCCTTCCCGTGCGCCGAGTGCGGCCTGACCTTCAACAAGCCGCTGTCGCTGCTGCGCCACCAGCGCACGCACCTGGGCGAGAAGCCCTTCCGGTGCCCGGCCTGCGACAGGGAGTTCGCCGTGGCCAGCCGGATGATGGAGCACCAGCGTGTGCACTCCGGCGAGCGGCCCTTCCCCTGCCCCACCTGCGGCAAGTGCTTCACCAAATCCTCCAACCTGATGGAGCACCAGACGCTGCACACCGGCCAGAGGCCCTTCAAGTGCGCCGACTGCGGCGTGGCCTTCGCGCAGCCCTCGCGCCTCGTGCGCCACCAGCGCATCCACACCGGTGAGCGGCCCTTCCCTTGCGCGCAGTGCGGCCAGGCCTTTGCCCGCTCCTCCACCCTGAAGCGGCACCAACAGATCCACTCCGGGGAGAAGGGCTTCCTCTGTGCCGAGTGTGGCAGGGCCTTCCGCATTGCCTCCGAGCTGGCCCAGCACATTCGGGTGCACAACGGGGAGAGGCCCTACCAGTGTGAGGACTGCGGCCAGGCCTTCACCCGGTCCAATCACCTCCAACGACACCGGGCCAAGCACCACGCCTGCAAGAAGGAGCCCAACCCCTCCTCCTCTGACGAGTGAGGGCTTTTTCAGTTAACTCTCAGGGAGGGCGAAGACGCCGTCCACCTCATCGCTTAGAATCCTCCCCCGTGGGCCAGCCCACTCACGTGGTATTGTCAGCCTTCAGCGGGTCGCAGGCCATGGGGTGGCGCATTTGATTTGTGTCTGTGATCCCTTGTGTAGCAAGTACCTGGAGGGAAAGAACTCAGGTGTGTGGTTTCATATCAGTCTTTCTTCTGCATCTCAGAGGTTGTATTCATTTGGAAAAGGATAAGATAAAGTAGTGAGGGCTGGTCAAGAGTTGCGTTCCTTGGTTGCTCGGAAGCTATAGAAGTATGTGTGGGCACTATGCAGGGTTCCAGGGATACCGGAAGGGAAAGGACTGTCCTGTCTTGCCCTCAAAGCCACATGAGGATCCTGAGAAGAAGGCATCTGGGGCTGGTCCTCTTTAGAGAAGGGTACTCTTCAGTTTTCTGGAAAGAAAGAAATCCCCAGAAGTGGTCTCTGTAAGGGATTATTCCAAAGCGACAAAGCATGCCTGGGGGTAACTAAGGAAACCCAGCAGAGAGCCCATCGTTACACTTTCCTGCTGAAACGACTTTACCCTGGGGGAATGTCTTTGTGAGTCTTGGCTTTGAATGGCTTGACTTACAGAGAGGAAGGGGTGAGGGGAGTTCATGCCCTGTGTTTAGGAACCAGCTATTCTAGAAGTCCAGAGCGGCCTTAGCTTCTGAAAAAGAAGTGCATTCCTCTTTACAGTGGAACTTCGTAACTGGATCTAAGCTGAGTCTCACCTACAGAATTCACTCGTGCCTCCTGTTTGGCCACATCTTTTCCTGTTCCCACCCTGGGAGCTTAAATCGTATGTAGTATTTACAGAGGAGTCTGCCCCTGGACAGAGAGAGAGAGAAACTTTCTCCCTGTGGGCCTGATGGTTCAGGAAGCCTTTTAGGTTCATTTAAATTTGCCAGGATCATGAGCTCTGATTTGAAGTAAATAAAAAAGTACCACTTGCCGAAGTGCCAATTAGCTGTGTTTCAGAGTCATTAAAACCAGATTTGAAAATGTACATGACACAGTTATTCTCTAATGAGATTATCTGAAATTGGCATTACCAACAGCCCTTCTTCAAAATGTATCGATACATACATTGATTTTGTCTAGTTTAAAGTCAGTAGTTCTTATCTCTGGACCTCAACTGTGAGGAATCCATGGCTTCTCAGAGTTCCCTTGATGCACGGGGGGCAAACAGCACTTCTCATCTCGCCAAAGATAAATACGACAATCCACAAGAAAGTGTAGTACTCTCTTTTTGAGGATATCTTTAGTATATTCCAAAAATTGCCACCAAAGGGTGCCCAATCTGAATTTTTCTTGGTTTCTACCTGATTTGGACTCAGGGAGTGACTGCTAAACAGCATTCTCATGTGTGACACATGGGGCCCGAAGAGAAGTGATATTATCGTCATGGCTTATTTGACAGAGGTAACTAGAGCTCTGACCGCCTGCCTGGAGCTTTTGTGTGTTAACTCGCTTCGAGACCTCTGCGTGTCCCAATGACAGAGTTAGCTGTTCTCGGTCTCGCACCAGAGCCAGAGCTTGGGATCTTAGTTCATCCCCAGCATTTACCAGTGATGTGACCTTGGCTTCTGCTTCTGCATCTGCGCTGGCAGAATAATAATAATGAGGTCATAAAAGTGGGAGTCATCCTACCAGGGGAGGAACTTTGGCTGAATGCAAAGGCATTAAACTGGTAGAGAAGTCATAAAATTCCTCTATAACCTTGGGACTATGAACAGAGTAAAGGCCAGTATATTTTTTTCTGGGTAGTCAATGAAATATTTGAAGATTGAAGTTATTATTCCTTTTCTTTGTATTGTTTTTTCTTAAGATGGTTGTTAGTACAGTTTTTACTAATTAAAAAATTTGGTTTGGTTCTATAATTTCTTAAGGTAGTTGTTCCCCAAACCAGTTGATAGAATGGCTGAAGAGAAATCACCTGGGCTGTTTGTTAACCATGCAACTTGCTGAATCCTAGCCTGGAATATTGAGACAGGTGTGCACTGCATCTTGGGATGTAGTTTTTAAAGCACAGCCAAGTTGGGGCCACTGGTATAATTAATATATTGGGGTTGGTGATGATTAAATGTTATCATTTGGTAAACAGATAATAGAGGAATAAGAAGCAGGCAGTCTGGATGAGATCCCAATAGAACTAGGCTGAAAATAAGCACAAGCTGCTAGAACACCTCCTGACTTGGATATGGTGGGTGCAAACTAGCAAGCAGGTTGTGGAGTGTCCCGTCATCTCATTTCTGCGGGTGAGATGCAGTGTCTAGGTGGGCACAGCTTTGGGGAGAGAGTGAGAACACTTCTCGCTAATAGGCAGAATAACTGGATTCACTTGTTCTGGGTATCTTCAGAGCTGTATGTATTATTTCTGGAATATAAGGCGATACAGTATACTGAATATTAATGTTGTATACCGAAGAGAAGTTCATCAGTCCTTCAATGCTTACCATGTAAACAAGTCATATATTAAGGAAAATTTGTCCTAACCAGTCTTTTCTCACATCAGCTGCAAGGGTCATGCTGAGTAGGTATTGTAGGGGAAAGCAATCCCATTATTGTAGTCACAGGTCACTGGACCATTCCGTGGTGGAGAAGTGGAAGGTAATACATGGAGTGGACAACAGAGAAGTCAACCAGCTGCAACGTGGCTTGACACAAATTCTGCCCAATAGAGTCTGTCTATCCAAGGTAGAGGCAATTGAATCCTCTCTTTGCAGAAGAGTCAATGCTACAACACAGGTTAGTCTGGCTCAGATTGTTGCCCCAAGTGATGCTGAGCTATTTTTCTTGTTTTCTATAAACCCGCTGCATATCGCATCTTATTTGCCCCTTATGCAATTAAAATTGGAGCAGGGTGTTCTTTAAATTCTTTCTCTCTGGACTAGTGCTGTTTCCACAGTTTAGTTTGCCAAAATTAATTTGGATATACCCAGTAAAAACGTTCATTTATAAGTTTCCGCTTAATAAAAATTCTCCTAATGTATTTACCAGAGCCTGCAGCCATCACAAGCCATGTCCTTTAGACAATAAAGGTAACGGCTAACACTCACATAGTGATCAGTGTGCCAGGAAGTGTTCTAAGTGTTTCACATATATTAATGATTTAATTTTTAAAGTAAACCTATGGTGATTATCCGTATTTTTAAGATGAGGAAATCAAGAGACAAAAAAGTTATCTTCCCCAAGATATCATAGCTGCAAAGTAGCATATAATGATTTGACACTTAGGCATGCTGGCTCCAGAGACTGCGTTCTTAACCACAAGGCTAACTGCTTCTGGTTGGTATAGAGGAATACTCTGAAATTCTTGATGATACGCATTTTAAAAGTGCATGATCATAAATTCAAGAAAAGACTAAAGGTTGAAACAGCAGAGCAGAAACCATGGTGTGACTCTAGGAAGAAGACCTGTGAATTACTTAAGAATGGGTCTGGGGGAGCCTGGGTTGGCAGCTATTAATCATTCATTCCTTGGCAAAACTGTCAATAAGCTGGCCAGGAGGAAGGACTTGGAATTAAAGAATGATGGTTCCTTGAAGGGCAGCCATTGTTTCATCTCTCTGACTAAAGAAACAGTCTGTGCCTGTGCTGGACACAGAAAAATGCACCAGCATTGAATTTTGACATACAACATTTACACAACAATTTATAAACCAAATGCATGCGTATTGAACAGCTATATTACCCCTGATATGAACACAATATATCATCCAGGATTTCCAACTAGGACTTCGAAAAATCTTACTTGGAAGGAAATTTTGTGTAAAGCCTCAACTTAATTGCTAGAATACTCAAGCAGACGTCATTGCTAGACTCAGACTAAACTATGAACTACAAACTCAATGACCCATGAAAATATTGCCAAAGATGGAATGACTCAATGTTTCATAAACCAGAAAAGGGTATCTTTTTAAAGTTGAGAAGGAAGCTCATTTTTGACATCAATCACCTCTCTCCATTCTGCATAAAACCATGCCGGTACAATTAAAATTTTTCCACTATGGCTGGAGAATATTTTTTCTCGTGCTCTCCTCCTTGTTTTCTCCTTAACCAGCCTCAGTCAAGTTGGCTCAGGGTTTTACCATCTCAGGAGTGTCAGGCACTCAATAGATGGGCTCAATGAATGAATAGAGCGTCTATAAAAACTTAAGCTATAATTAAGATTTACAGAAAAACAGGCCTCTTCCATAAGGCAAAGACAATGTGGTGGAGGACAAAGACAAGAAGGGAAGAAGGATCCTATGCGGTAGCTCAGATGAAGTCAAGGGCAAGTGGGGATGGTAGATAAAATGAGGAGATGCCTGAGATTTCGGAGGTGGAGTCAATTAGGCTTGATGATGGGATATTAACAGCTACCATTTAGTGATCACTTTTTAGGGAGCAGGCACTATAGTCATTATCTCAATTAATTCTTACAACAATCTGTTATGGGAGACTATTCAAAAATATTCCCACGTGGGGTCTGCTACAATTTTCCTTTCCAGGAAAGCAGATAAGATTAATCGATGGTGGCTCATGTCTGTTATTGTTAAGCAAGGGTCAGTAAGGTCTTTGTGCCCCTTCTAAGAAATAAGCTGCAGATCTACAACAGGAGAATATGTAGCAAATCCCCTGCCTTTTGGTTTAGAAATTACGCTTGCTTACAATTTTATTTTCCATAATTGTGGTGGTTTAGAAAATATACTTACATAAATGTCCATCAATGGATGAGGGGGTAAAGAAGATGTGATATATATATGTGCGTGTGTGAGTGTGTGTGTGTGTACACACACAATGGAATATTATTCAGCCATGAGAAAGAAGAAACTACTGCCATTTGTGACAATATGGTTAGACATGTTGAGGACATTATGCTAAATGAGATGTGTCAGACAGAGAAATACAAACACTGTATGATCTCACTTATATGTGGAATCTACAGAAGTTGAACTCTTAGAAACAGAGAGTAAAGTGGTGGTTACCAGGGGCTGGAGGGGTGGGGACCTGGGGAGATGTTGGTCAAAGGGTAAAAACTTTCAGCTATAAGAGAATAAGGTCTGGAGGTCTAATGTAAAATATGGTGACTATATTTGATAATATTGTATCGTACAATTGAAATATGTGAAGAGAATAGAACTTAAACGTTTTCACCAAAAGCAAAAAAAGATAAGCGTGTGAGGTGATTAATGTGTTAATTAACTAGATGCGGGAATCTGTTCACAATGTATATGTGTATCAAGTCACTACGATGTACAGGTTAAATATCTTACAATTTTATATGTCAATTATGCCTTAATAAAGCCAAATTTTAAAAAAAAGAATTAAAAAATTGTTTAATAAAAACAAAACACGTGCCCACAGATTCTTTGACACTTCTCCCTGCGAGAAATGGAGCCTAATTTCTCTCTCCTTTGTAGGGGCTGGGCTCAGTGACTGAGTGCTAATGAACAGAATAAAGCAGAAGTGTTGGTGCAAAACTTCTGAGGCTAGGTCTCAAAGGTGCTGTGGCTTCCACGTCGCTCACACGCATGCTCCTTTCCTCTCATCACTTGCTCACGAGTAGCCTTATAGACAGGCCCTATGGTGAGGAACTGAAATCTGCTAACAGCCACATCTGTGAGCTTGTAGGGGATCCTCTAGCCCCAGTTGAGAGTTCAGATGACCACTGACCCAGCTGACTGCTTGCCTGAAACCTTCTGAGACACCCAAAGCCAGAACTATCCAGCTGAGTGGCCCCCGAATTCCCGGCTCTTGGAAACGGTGTGAAATAATAAATGCTTGTTGTTTGAAGCTGCTAAGTTTGGCTTGGTAATTTGTGACGCAGCAATAGATAACAGGTAGAATATAGAGAACAACTTGCTCCTAATGAGTAAGTGAGCAGTCACTAGATGTCACTGTGAGCCCTCATTTCTGCCCTAAGGAAACTGACAGAGAGATTGGAACACATCTCCACTTCCTGTCACCACATCCCACCCCTCCAATGGTCACTGCTAAGGCTGCAGAAGTTCAGCTGGTGTACAGGCAACTCCTCTGTCATCTGTCCCTTTGTCAAGCAAGTCATCTTAACTCTAGAGTCCAGTAAGAGGGACCCTCTCGGAAGGCGGCAGAAGCACTGTGGGTAATATCTAGACACTAGCACCACATTTGATAGGGAATGGTAAGAAGGAAACCCTTCTGACTGTCCTCTTCTTTGGAATACTGCAATTCCTAATCTATGGAGATGACTGAAGCAATGCATGGTCGTCTCTTGAAAGGGGAGAAATTTCTCATTCTCTAGAGTTAGAACACAATCCTAGGAAGGAAGTGTTATTATCACTATTTTGCAGATAAGGAAATAAAAGAGTGGAAAGATTAAGCACATAGCCAAGGGTACATAGCTAGTCAGCATGGAATCAGAACACCAGCTCAGATCTGCAGGGCTGTCCTGCCCCTCCCACCTTGAACTGGGGGATGGTGTGGGACCTGAGGCCAAGCCCCAGGTTTCTCCCTTGGCTCAAGGGACAGAGTCAGTGTTCGTGTCACTATAGCCACTGTCTCTTCTAATCTCTTTTTGTTTCCACTCCCCTGCCCTAGGCCTTACGTAAGTGCCATAGCTGGCCTTTTCCCATTTCTCTTTCTCTCACTTTCAAACCCCTACCTCCCAGGAATGGGGGATTAATGAGGGAGGGGGGGTTAATAAGATGGTAGTGCAGGCACATCTATGAGGCAACTGAAGCCCCTATTTGGAACTCCTCAGTGTGTTCCAGGAGGAAAGTGATATAGATATACATACAGATATACATAGAGATAGCTAAAATTTTTCCAATCTGACACTGCAGAGGTGTGTAAAAAAAGGGATTTTCTATGGAGGGAGATATTTGGGAGAGGCACCTTCCTGGTGTTTCTCAAATCACAAGACATACATCTGGAAATAGACACTTAAAGATTCTATGTCAGCCTGGAACATCTATAACACTAAAAAGACAACACAGAGATATAGTTAGCATGCATCTTATCTTCCCTGATATAATTGCCTGGATGCCCGTGGGCCTGTGTGTGAGAGCCACTTGCATTTGTTCCCCATAGCTGCTGTAACAAAGTACCACAACCTTAATGGCTTAAAATAACAGAAATATTTTCACAGTATTCTGGAAGCCGGAAGTCCAAAATTAGCATCACTGGGCTAAAATCAAGGTATCTGCAGGGCCAAGCTCTGTCCTGAGGCCTTAAGAGAGAATCCATTCCTTCTCTTCCCCAGCTTCTGGTGGCTGCCAGCCTTCCTTGGCTTGTGGCTACATCATTCCAATCTCTGTCCCCATAGTCACACTGTCTTTTCCTTCTCTGTGTCAAATCTCCATCTGCCTCTCTTTATAAGGCCACTCTGATGGTAGTTTGGGCCCACCTGGATAATCCAGGAAATCTCCTCATCTCGAAATCCTTAATCACACTTGCAATGACCCTTTTTCCCCAGAGGGTAACATTTGCATGTTCCGAGGAGCAGGACGTGATATCTTCAGGCGGCTGTTATTCAGCTTACTATGCTACGGCACAATGAATAGTCTCAGGGTCTTCCCACAACTAGAAACACTAAGTGATAATCACTTATTTCACTTCAGGTGGCTGAAAGGACAATGGAAATTTGTCCTGCCGCTTAAACAAAGAAATTTTGGAGCTAAAGTGGATCTTAGAGATCACTTGTTTTACCAGTGAGGAAGCTGCAAATTAAACAGCTTTTAGCAGCAATCCAGAGCTCTTCCCATCCCACGAGGTACTCTTTTTTATTTCATGTGAAGTTTGATGTCTATCCTTTAAGTTCAGTAAAGATCATAACCTTAATTAGCTCTATTAATTTCAAAAGCTATGATAGATGTAGAGAATACTTAGAACAGATCAAAAATGGAAATGTTTACATTTCCCTTTTACAGTAATGAGAATTGCTTTAAGATTATATTTTCCATTCTAGATCTATAGCCATTTCCATCTTCTAATAGACATTCATAATTCCCATTTCCATCTCAATGAAACGATCTACCTAAGCTTTCAAGTTATTCCATCACCATATTACTTATTTTAACTTGTTTTCTACCGCTTACTATTTGGGTACAGATATAAAGCAAAAACAAGTTTTCAACTTTAGCATGCAATTTTCCAAATTCTTCTCCTTCCATCAAATTTCAAAAGATCTGAAAACATGCTTACATCATGCAAAAGATTACTGCCAATATGATCACAAATGTAAAAGAAAGCATTTATTAGAAGTATATTAAAGATAGTGCTTTTTTAATGATACACTAGTCCTGAGAGAAGCAGTAAAGAAATTAGAGTGAATGAGTCTGGAAGGAACTCCCTAAACCTTATAAAGTGATTTTGAACCTTTTCTTGAATCACAGGCTCCTTGGGAATCCCATGAAAGCTATGGATCCTATCAAAAACCCCACAGCATTGATGTTTTGCATTACAATTTCAGAGAGTCCGCAGACTTTGCAGAGCTCATCAATTGGCCTGAAATTAAGAATCTCTGATAGACTCCACTTCCAAATATGTGTTCAGCACCAAATTTGAGGAACTTAATTCAGTTACAACAGGAAAGGGCTACAACAGACTTGCAAAGTAAGGCTCATCAAAGACTATCTTTAGGGTGATTTTAAAAAAGGAAAAACCTACAGAAGATGACTAAGACTATTCACACTCCAAAGGAGTAAACAGATTTCTTCAAATACTGAAATGGATTTATTACTGATTTGGTAAATTAGCTATATTCTCTCTTACAAAGGTAACAATTCCTCTTGGAATATATAAAATGGCATACGTAGTTTTAAAAAGGTACAAGTTCATCCAAATAAGTATTGTCACAGCTTTTAAGAAAAATAAATATTTTACTTTGAAAAAATGCAGTAGTTAATGACAAAAATAAACCAAATTACTAATGTACTCTAGGAAAAGAGCTGCATTTGCATCCCGAACTGCATGCAAACCAGCACAGGGGTTACAATTGTGGAAAACTCCAATAAAGACTAGTCTTTAAAGGACCAAGCAGAGAACCAAATTATGAAAAGAGCCAGGCTTTTTCATAAGGAATCTGTCAACTGTAAGAATTCACTTAACTCTCAGCCATTAATGACAGTGTTATCTGCACCTATAAATACCTACTTTACTCCTGCCAGAAATGACCATAGCATTTCTAAGGGGAAAAGAAACCACTTTCTTAGATATAGTTTAAGCCATTCATGAGGTGGCAGGGTCTGGGAAAAAACCTGGACTAAGTTAATGACTATATTAGAAAGTTTGTTCTATTGAGCAGATCTTAATAGAGATAAAAACAAAAGGTAATAATAAACTTACCAGTCCCAGCCACAGGTTGCCTCTACTGATGAGTCTGTTCATGCCCCTTCAGAGTGCCTGCTGCAGTGAAAGCATGTCTACTGGAAGTACAAGAGTGTGGCTTCTGTCCAGTATGAATCCGCTGATGGCCTTGCAGGGATGTCAGCGGGTGAAGGTCTCACCACGCTCATCACAGTAGAAGGGGCGCTCTCTAGAGTGTGTTTGTTGGTGTCTTTTTAACCTGACCAGTTGGACAAAGGCCATACCACATTCTTGGCACTTGTATGGCTTGTCCCACCCATGGATCACCTTGTGAATCGATGGAAGGGTTGGTTGGCAAAACCCCTTACAACAAACAGGTCAGACGTGTGGTTTGGAGTCTTCCTTTACTGTGTTTCAGTCATCTGAACTGTGATGGTTCTGGTACAGGTAGACCAGGGATTTCTCATGGTACCAT